CTGAAAGAGAAACTAACTGGCCCTCCTACGATTTATAAATGGCTTTCACAGTTGTGGATTTGAGAATATTTTTGGTGGTCTGTCACAGACATGGGCCCTCAGCAGTTGTGTGGATCTGATTTGGTCTGTTGATCAGTTTCTTGTGGCTTTCTTGGTAAGATCATCCTGTGTTTCAAGTCATCTGTCCACAGTTTCTCTCTACATATTTACCTCCCCCCACATACTCAGCTTTATGCAGTCCTTCCATCACTGCAGCACTCCTGATACCAAGATCCCGGTCCCACCTCCACCCCCGGCCCCCACCTCCACCAAATTGTAGCCACTATCCACAGGGCATTTTTACTCCAGGCTTCTCACTGAGCCAGGACTCCTCACTCCTACTGCACATCCCCATATACGTGTCACCAGCTATGCACCATCCCCATACTACAATGCTCTGGGGAGTTGCTCTGTGACTATACACCAATTCGGTTTCTGTACTCCACCTCTGGCACTGGCAAAACAGAGGAATTCTCCACCATCCAGCAGATTCTTTTCCAATCAAGTGTGAACTCCAGTCTCGGGGAGTTGCCCACATTCTGAGATTGTCTTTCTTATGGAGCCCCTGCTTCCATCTTTTATTAAAACTTATACGATAGTTTTATAGCTCTTTTTTTGTTGTATTAGACTTCCTTGGTCCAGACTGTATGCTTTCTATGTCGTGATTGGATCCAGATTGCTACAGAACACAACATCTATAGCAAATATCATTCTTAACAACGAGTTAATAACTTTTCTATGTTCATATATGAATGCACGACCAGTATAACTTCACATCATGTAAACAACCTCAAGAATGGGAAGCTATACTCCATGTATGCATGATATGTCAAAATGCATTCTACTGTCATGTAAAACTAAAAGAACAAATAAAAAAGGAAAGCCTATCATATATTTCTAAGCAACACATTTTAATAAGTGAAATTGACAAAATTATGCTATGTACATATATGACTACATCACACTGAAGTTCGCCTTTATGTAAGTCTATAAAACACAAATTAAAAAAAAAAAATCTACAAATAAATAGAAGGAAGACCAGGAGAATAGAGGAGAGGAACAGGGGAAGGAGAAGAAGAGGAAAAGCAGAAGTAGTGAGGACTCAAGGGTAGCAAATTATGTATTACATATGTAGGATAATGTCTAATAGAACCCCAACATTAAGTATAACTAGAAGACACTAATAAAAACATTCAAAAATCAAAAAATTCAAAGATAGTATTTGCTAAATATGATATGCCTAGGATAAAATGTCACATGTTCAGAAAAATGTTATAAAATATAGTCACACTCAAAGAGATATATTATTATTATTATTATTATTATTATTATTTTATTATAATAATTATTATTAATGGTTATCATTGTTATTATTACCAGAGATTGAACCCAGGGGTGTTTAACTAGTCAGCCACATTATCAGTCCACTTTTTTAATGTTTTATTTTGAGTCAGGGTCTTACTAAGATGCTCAGGGCCTTGCTAAGTTGCTGAGGCTGGCTTTGAACTCACAATCCTCCTGCCTCAGCCTCCACAGCTGCTGGGATTACAGACATGTGCCATCAAGCGTGGCTTCAAAGATATATGATTAAAAGAAGAGATATGCCATAGTCATGAACCAAACATGTAGTACTGAAAAGTAGTCAAATCTAAAATATCAACACAGTCCTAGTTAGAATCCCACCCTGAGAGACCCTCGGGCCTACAACTTTCCATGATGAATTGATAACTTAGGTACAATGAAATGGACCCCAAATAGATAAGGTACATTTGGAGACCAAGGTAAAATTGACTCATTCTATCCAAATATTGCCACAGTCTGGCTGGGCACAAAATCACGAGCCACTCAAGCAGGAACAAACTTTATTTTTGAAACTGCCGCCAATGCCCCGTATGCTCCCAGGAAGATTGCCGACCGACCCACGCGGCATTCTCCCGGACCCCAACAGGCGTTGAATATTGGTCTTTGGTAATTAAGTTAGTGTTGTATTTCAAATACTTAAATAGGTCCGTGACACATAATAGAGTGTATAGGAATTAGCCCAACCATATGTCGATACTCAATTAATGGCACCATAAACCAGGTAGAAAATGGAAGACTTTTCAACAAGTAGTTCACTGAGAAAACTGGATATCCACATGAAAGGAACCCTATTCACCACCACCATACACAAACTTCAAGTGCAAGTGGATTAAGACATGCCTGTGAGAGGCAAAACCATGTAAATTTTAGAAGATGATACAGAAAATAATTTTTGGCCCAGTGTTGCTTAAAACAGAAAAAAAAAATCTCTTAAAACATATTAAGAAAGTATAGTATTAAACTGGGCACAGTGGAGCATGCCTGTAATCCCAGGGGCTTGGGAGACTGAGGCAGGAGGATTGTGTGAGTTCAAAGTCAGCCTCAGCAATTTAGCAAGGCCTAATTTAGTGAGACCCTGTCCCCTCCCTCCCTCCCTCCCTTCCTTTCTCTCTCTCTCTCTCTCTCTCTCTCTCTCTATCTATATATATATATATATATATATATATATATATATATGAGGATGTGGCTCAGTGGTTAAGCACCCCTAGGTTCAATTATTCCTGGTACCAAAAAAAAAAAAAGTTGAATCACTAACCATGAAGAAAAGAATGATCAGTTTGACTGTATCATAACTAGGATTTTCTGTTCAATAAAACAGAGCCCAAAGCAAGTGAACACACACGCACATGCACCCACACACTCACACACACACACAAGGGAATAGCACAGCCACACTTATGGACTGGTATTTGAAATAGGTAACAAACCCATTAAATCAGTAAGCACAAAATGGATAATGCATAGGAAATTTTGTGGAAGGAGTTAAATTTGGTCCAGTCCTCCCACAGAAAAGCAAACCCCAAAGGTTTATAAATATAATAATGTGATAAAGCTTATTATATTTGGGGTATTGTCCACAGCCATGTTGGCAAAGATTAAATGCTGGCAATATTTAGTGTAGGTGAATAAGTAGGCCAGAGGGATGTCTATGGGCTGCTGGTGCGGTTGAAAATTGGCACAACCACTACAGAAAACAATTTGGCATTGCTTTGGTAAGCTGAATATATGTATATCCTATGGATCAGTGATTCTATTCTGGGATGTATACTCCGGAGAGGCTTTTACCCATGTGTTCCATGAGAAATGCACAAGAACAGACATAACAGCCAAGAACTAGAAATGACCCTGGTGTCCATTTATTGTAGAATGGAATGGTATAATCACATCACAATCACTGTTTATAAGCATAGACTGGGACGCTAGTCAACAATGGAGACAAAGGATTTACCCGCAGCTACTATGAACAACATGGATGGGTCTCTTACATATGCAATAAACATACAATAAACGCTGAAAGAAGAAGCATGCAGTGTGATTACATTTACATAACTTCATATAAAATGCATTGTTTAGGGATGCATACAAAAATGGTAAAGCTATAAAGAAAAGTACTGAAAAGATTATCACAACATCAGGATAATGACTATATATCCACTGGGACGATGTGGGCTATGATTGGGAGGAATAAAGTGGCTGTGTTCTGGAAGGCTGGCAATGGTCCATTTCTTGACCTGGTTCCTGATTTACATGGGTGTTACTTGTATAAATCATCTAAACCTACAGTGTGTTTTATTCAGTCTTATATATCTCAGATTTTAAAAATGCTTACTCCAAGAAAAAATGTAACAGAAAGGAAAATATGGGTTGTAGAAATAAATCTTGATGAGGTTTGAATTGTTATGGATGAAGAAAATGTGATTTTTCCAGTCCAGAGACCAGCAAGTGTCCTCTCTCTCTCAAAGGTGAGGGGGGCCAGGGTTATTTAGATGCTAAGTACCCCATACCTAATCCTCACCCTAAACCTTTCTCCTACCAGACATTTCACCCTATATTTATGTTAACTGCCTATGGCAAATCAGTTGGAGGATCATCATCACTAATGAGATCACTAGGCATCAAAGGTCATGTCATTAGAGTAAGACTGGGCAACCACACTTCCATGAGAGCAGGTACCCCAGTTTACTGCATTTCCTGTCAGTCCACAGGCATCCATGTGCTGGAGAAACTAGAGTAAACCAAAGAATATCTTCATTGTGTTGTGAAATTGGACATGAGCTTTATCATGGTGATAATGGTAACTGATGATGGAAGGGCAAAGAGTTGGTTTAGGTTGAGCACTGTACAGGGAGAACCCAGGTGCAGATTAGGTTTTCCAGATCCCAGCATATATTGTGTCATTCTCCAGGCTTAGCATTTCTAAGCAGAATGGTGCTAATGTGTTTTGGCCCCATCTCCTATTCTATTCTCTGACAAAATCCTATGTGGAAAAATTTTCCCAGGACCTTGCTTAAGATAATTCAGAGTATAGAAGTTTGGGTAGGGGCATCTGCAACAGAAATCCTAGCACTGTGGTAATTTAATGGTGACACATACTTCATTTTCTCAGAAATTTTCTCTCATCCCTCAATCCATCCAGCCAGTCAGCCGGTCAATAATTTTTAATCCACAAAATGTATTAAGCAACATGCCTATTGCCAGGAGAGGTTGGGGTGTGTTCATTTAGGTATATACAATGTGGTTGTATATTTACGTTGCTTTTATCGGATAGAAACCTAGGTACTCTAGAACCAATACTGAATGAGCTGTCATTTCCTAATTACCTCAAAAGACCATCTTGATTACTTACTAATATAAACTGTGGAACTTATTTATGCACATCAGGCTCTGAGTCTGGGCTTCCTATTTGTTCCAGAAACCCAGTACCAGAATATTTAAATCACTGTGGCGTTAAATACGTTTTAATATCTGATAGGGCCACTTTCTGCGCATTGCACTTTTTTTTTTTTTTCCCTCTCAGGAACGTGTTCGGGCCCGCGGCAGGGGGCGGGGTCGCGCCTCCGCCGCGGCTCCGGTTCCAGCCGAGCCTCACGGACGCAGAGATGGAAATCCCGAGGCTGCTCCCGGCTCGCGGGACAAGACAGGGCAGCGGCGGTTATTGCCCCGCGGGCGGCGGCGGGGTCCACCGAGGCCCTGACCCGCCGGCTGGTCAGGCCCCCGCGCGGCGCCTTCTACTGCTCCGGGGGGCCCAAGATGGCGGGCCCGTGCCGCGGAGCGAGGAGGCCCGCAGGGCCTCACGGGGCCGGGGCCCGGGCCCAAGCCCGAGCCCGTTGGCGCCGCGGCCGAATCACCCGAGCGGCGGCGGCGACGACTTCTTCCTGGTGCTGCTTGACCCGGTGGGTGGCGACGTGGAGACTTCGGGCACCGATCAGGCCGAAGGGCCCGTGTGGAGGGAGGAGGCCGAAGCGGGCCTGGGGCCCCAGGGGGACGAGAGCGGCGCGAACCCTGCGGGCCGCCCTGCGCTGGGCCCCCGCTGCCTGTCCGCGGCCCCGGGCCCGGCCCCGGTTCCGGTCCCGGTCCCCGTCCCGGTCCCGATCCCGATCCCGATCCCGGCTCCAGCCTCAGGCCCGGGCCACGGGGCGGCCTTCGCAGGCACCATCACTATCCATAACCAGGACCTGCTGTTGCGTTTTGAGAACGGCGTCCTCACCCTGACCACGCCCCCGCTGCCGGCCTGGGAGCCGGGGGTCGCGCCTTTCCCGCAGCCTGGGGGTCTAATTGCCCCTCCGCCAGCCGGGTTCCCGCACACCGCGCAGTTGGGTGACTGCCCAGAGCTGCCGCCCGAGCTCCTGCTGGCCGAGCCGGCGGAACCTGCACCGGCCCCGGCTCCTGAGGAGGAGGCTGAGGGCCGGGCCGCCGCCCAGAGCCCTCGCGGGCCGCTGGGCCCGGCCCCAGGCGTGGTGCTGTACCTGTGCCCCGAGGCGCAGTGCGGACAAACCTTCGCCAAGAAACACCAGCTGAAGGTGCACCTGCTGACGCACAGCAGCAGCCAGGGTCAGAGGCCCTTCAAGTGCCCCCTGGGCGGCTGCGGCTGGACCTTCACCACATCTTACAAGCTCAAGAGGCACCTGCAGTCGCATGACAAACTAAGGCCTTTCGGCTGCCCGGTGGAGGGCTGTGGCAAGAGCTTCACCACTGTGTACAACCTCAAAGCACACATGAAGGGCCATGAGCAGGAGAACTCCTTCAAATGTGAGGTGTGCGAGGAGAGCTTCCCCACGCAGGCTAAGCTCAGTGCCCACCAGCGCAGCCACTTCGAGCCAGAGAGGCCCTACCAGTGTGCGTTTTCCGGCTGCAAGAAGACGTTTATTACCGTGAGTGCCCTGTTTTCCCATAACCGCGCCCATTTCAGGGAACAGGAACTCTTTGCCTGCTCTTTCCCTGGCTGCAGTAAACAGTATGACAAGGCTTGTAGGCTGAAAATTCACCTGCGGAGCCACACAGGCGAGAGACCTTTCCTTTGTGACTTTGAGGGCTGTGGCTGGAATTTCACCAGCATGTCCAAACTCTTAAGGCACAAAAGGAAGCACGATGATGACCGGAGGTTCACGTGCCCTGTAGAAGGCTGTGGGAAATCTTTCACAAGAGCCGAGCATCTGAAAGGCCACAGCATAACCCACCTGGGCACAAAACCTTTCGTGTGTCCTGTGGAAGGCTGCTGTGCCAGGTTTTCTGCTCGTAGTAGTCTCTACATTCACTCCAAGAAACACCTGCAGGATGTGGAGACTTGGAAGAGTCGCTGCCCCGTCTCCACCTGTAATAAACTCTTCACATCCAAGCACAGCATGAAGACCCACATGGCCAAAAGGCACAACCTTGGCCAGGATCTCTTAGCTCAGCTCGAAGCTGCAAATTCTCTCACGCCCAGCAGTGAGCTTACCAGCCAGGGACAGAATGATCTCAGCGATGCAGAGATAGTGTCTTTCTTCTCTGATGTGCCTGGCAAGAGTTCTGCTGCAGTGCTGGACACCGCATTGGTCAATTCTGGAATCCTGACTATTGATGTGGCTTCTGTGAGCTCCACTCTGGCAGGGAATCTGCCTGCCAACAATAATAATTCTCTAGGGCAGGCTGTGGACCCTCGGGCCTTGATGGCCACCAGTGACCTTCCTCAGAGCCTGGATACCTCTCTCTTTTTTGGAACGACAGCTGCTGCTTTTCAGCAGGGCCCCTTAGATATGGATGATGTCTCCAGTGTAAGCGTCGGGCCACTGGGGTCTCTGGGTTCTTTGGCAATGAAAAACTCGAGTCCAGAGCCCCAAACTTTGACACCCAGCAATAAGTTAACAGTGGACACAGAAGCTCTGACTCCTTCGAGCACCCTTTGTGAAAACAGTGTTTCAGAACTACTGACACCAACCAAAGCGGATTGGAATGTACATCCTGACTCTGACTTCTTTGGACAGGAGGAAGAAACCCAGTTTGGATTCCCTAATCCAGCAGGAAACCATGGTTCTCAGAAAGAAACAGATCTTATCACAGTGACTGGCAGCCCATTTTTGGTATGAATCAAGTCTATTTGTTACTTGCCATGTGGCTTACTTTATTAACACTCAACTTTGAGGGTCTTCTGGACTGAAGGGTTTGCAGAAGAACACATCCCTGGACTACAAGCTTGGAGATTTAAATTCTGATCTTGAGTCTGGAACTGACAAGTTCTGTGACCCTGAGCAAGTCACTTAACCTATCTGAGCCTTAATTTCCTTATTTATAAAATGATGTGCTTTGAATGCATTGTTTCTAAGCTCTTTTCTGCTCTGTATTTTTGTGATAGTGTGCTTTATCTGGAAAAATGTAGGGTGTTTCACCATCATTACTTATTGCATGTGCTTCTAATGTCATAGAAAGGGTTTTGATCCCTTTGAGAAGTAAATGATCAGAGATGGAGATACTGGTATTTAACTTTAAAATGTTAATAGAAGTTTTACATAGTTTCATGATATTTGTAAAATCTATTAGTAGAGTTCAAAAGGAACCTATAAATATTGGTTGGTTGTTTGCCTTTTCATCATTTTAGCCCTCCTCACCCTTTTGAATAGGAGACTGTATTTTTGTTGTGGAAAATGCTAGAGCTTGATATGATACAATCCCAGACTCAACTATTGCCTTTGTGGTGTTTGATAAGTGGCCTTAAAGACTTTATTTAGTTTTGCTCAGCCTTAGTTCCCTAGCTTTAAACCAGTCATAGCAATGTACATATATCTGGTGCATATTAGACTCCTTTTTCTATCCTAGTAGGTGGTATTGAAGATAAATATTATATATTTTGGCACATTTTGTTAATTTTTTTCCTGCTCTTCTATTTCCTGCCTCCATGGGGCAAAATGGACATAATTTAATTTCTCACTTTTGCCAACAAAGAATGTTTATGAGGGTTAAGAAAGAGGGAAGGGAATTTATTTCTTCCGTGGATTAAAATTATTTTTCCCACACAGTTTTTATGTGACATTGACCACATGTCCATTTGTCCAGTTTCATAGTTAGTGTCTTTGCTTTGTGTCCAGTGCCAGCTCTTTACACAACCACAGAGGGTATTCTTCCAAAAAAATATGGGAGTGGACCAGAGGGAAATTTTCTCCTTTCTGCCCTGGAAAGCTCATTGTTTGCCCTCTCTGAAATGAGAAGTTTTGTCTACATTTTAACTAGATACTGTCTATCTTACATGAATATATCATTTTACAATTTACATAGAACTTTCACACATATAAAATTTCATCCTCTCAATCCTGAGATGTAGTTATGGTGAAGTCTGAACTACAACTGATACTAAATTTTACCCAACTCATATTACAGATGGATTTCACTTAATAGCTATTAATTATATGTATCAAACAAGGAGGAAATATTTCTACCTCTCATTCTACTCTTCTGAATTTCATGATCATTTTGTTTATAACCAGTTGCTCTGTTCCACCATAATATATATATATATATATATATATATATATATATATAACCTTCTATTTGCTCTGCTTCCTTGCTACCACCAGTCTTTTCCATACATCTCCTTTATTTATCTATTTTTTTTAATTAGACCAGCCTGTTTTGTGGTCATCATGTCTTTGTCATTCTCATGGTCAATTTTTCAGTCATGACATTTACTTTAAGTCTTTGTGTACACTGAGAAAGTTTTTTCTGGATTCAGATGGTGAAGTTTTTAAATATGAATCTGATTCTATTTGGGATATTTTATATATGGTTTTAGTGAGTTCTACTTTTCTAAATTTTTTCACAGTTCTTTCTAGAACACATTGTTAGCTGTTTTAAGACATCCAAACTCAGTTCTGTTTGCATGTGGATACTTGAGGATAACAATTTTCATAGTACTTTGGCAGTATACTTTATAATTTGTCAGTTTGAAATTCATCTCTACCACCTTTACAATTTTAAATTGGTTGTATTTTTACAGTGACAGAGCAAAAAAAAAAATACATACATTTGTAGTTCAAAGAAATAGAATTTTATTTCTCCCTCAGCACTTTGGAAAGATTTAAAACCAGTTTTAGATGTGTACCATCATTAGTTGAAATAATTCATAGTCTCTTATATCATTTTTCCTTTCCTACGGGCAGTAATGTGAAGGCCTGAGGTGAATTTATCTGTCTTAGGCATATATCAAAACATATAACTATAAACATATGTTAAAATTCTGCCACTTTATTTAACCTTGCAGACCAATTTTATCCCATTAAAAACTAGCATAAAATATACTTTTGCTATACTCTGTAAAATTCTCAAAGTATTATTCTCCTTTAAGATAAAAATCTTGGAATTATCTTTAAGATTTATCTTTTCATTTGCTTTTCCTAGCATGGTGGTGGAAATGACATGTAATTGTCATCAGTATATGACTAGAGACATAATGGTTATATTTCTGTTGTGTTGGTGTAAATTTGCTATTTTGTGAAACATTGGGGCATGATTTAATTTCATCTCATTTGCTTTTGTGCCTCCTCAGTATTTTATTTATTAAAAATCTGCCACATGAAAGTAGAATAATAAAAGGCCTTGCAGGAAGGTTTGATTCCAGAGGGCCCTGTAAGCATATTTATCATGAGTTAAAATATGTTAATCTTGACATTTTACCACTTCTTAGAGTGTTACATAATTGAAAGCCTTGAGTAGTGGAAGTGAAACTTGATAGAATGTGAGGAGCATCTTTCTATGTGGATGGAGTGTTTCACATTCCCACCTGGAAAACAAAAAGGTTTTTACTTCAGCAAGGTATTTAGACTATTTTTTGATGCCAAATAAAACAGTGATTAATTCTCTGGGAATATTTATAACCCCTCAATAATTATTAATATCACTCAGATCCACTTGGTGATTTTATAATACTCAAAATTGAATTTAGATGCAGCTCACACAAAATATGTGATGATTGAAATGTAAATTTGACCTAAAATTATATATTGCTTTTGAAAAATAAGTTTGCTTAGAAATATTTTGAAAGCAGATTGTGCCCTGAGGGTTTAGAGAGCATATATATTATCTAAGCATGAAACTACATATTAAAAGAAAAGCACTGTTTAAAAAAAATATTTTCAAGTCCAAATTGATGGGGCTTTTAAGGACAATTTTACACTAGAGACCCTATTATATATTTTAAGTTCATTTACTGACCATATGGAGAATGCAAGGTAGATGGGTAGGGATGGAGAAAAGAAATGTTAAATATGAACCATATCTTGATTTTAGAGAGGACATAGAAATTAATATATTTAACACTTAACAAGTAAACAATATCATCAAACATGTCTTCAGACATCTAAAGAATGACTGGAAGGCAAAAAGAACTTCATGAGATTTAGTTATGTAGAGAAGAAGGTTGATGAGTTCCAGCCAGGGAGAAAAAAAGCACAAGAAAAGGATCCAATCGGAACTGGTTGCCTGCATAACACTGGGAAAGACAACCTAGTTCAAATGCAAAACTCATGTTTGGTGAGATCCAAGAGTTAGGGTTAAACTGCCAATATGATGCCAAAGTTTGGAGGACAAGTCAGTAGATAGGGCTTTATTCTGGACATGGTTAAAAGACGAAATATTTGAGAAGGGAAATCAAAATATGAATATATAGAAAGATTAACATAGTAGACACGTACAATGTGGATTTGAGGGTTGTGTGATGGGAAAATAAGTTGTAGAGTCTGTTGTGATAATTCCAGAGTGCTGTGATGAAGATGAACGTTTAGACTGGAATGGTGGGAGGAAGGGAAAGGAGATATTTCCAATTTGAGGAAATAAATATTTTGTTGACTTATTGAATATATAGGACCATCCATCAGAAAGTGAAAGGAAGATAAAAAAATGGCATTAAAGTTTTCTTGGAGTCTGTAAAAATTACATTTCATTAATTCAAACAAGTTGTATATGAAACATTTTCAGTAATATTTATGGAAAGATGTTTAAAGCATGTTTAATGCACTGGGAAGTGATAAATCATTGTTATCCTTTAATAAAAATGTATATGTGGATATGTTAGGCTACTTCATCATTCTTGGCTCCCTCATATGTTTTCAGGTTTGCATTTAATATCTGTGCTTTTATTTCCCTTGGAGTATTTACAGTCCTATTCAACCTTGTATAATATATACATCAGACTACTCTGCATCATAAAGAACTATATAATCTCTGGCTGTCATTTCTTATTATCTTTCCCTGCTACAGATATTGAACAGATATTTTATATTGTGTTTAATAATACACATCAGTTCTCCACAATTTGGAAGATGCTGAATAGTCACTTATTTCAACAATTCTTCATGATAAATTTTGTGATGCTTTTACATGCTTTTTTTTCAAGTTGGAAGAGATAAGACTAGGATTACCCACAAATAAGCTTCAATGTGATCTTTGGTGCTTGTTATATTCCTCTTTGTCATTAGCTAACATTGTAGGTTAGTGATGGTAATAGGAACTCAGTTGCAGACTGGTATCCTGTTTACTTCACACCCCAACATACTCTCTTCATTTTATATTGGTAACTACTAATGTGATAACTGAAAAGGAATGGACTGCAAAAAGAGAAAAAAGGGAAAGAATCAAGAAGTAGCATAAATGACCACCTAATAATTACATTTTGTTTAATGATGAATTTTCTGTTTTGCATTGTGAAAAGAAAAATTCATTTCATTAATTTTCTTCTGACAATTCTGGACATGCAAAACACATTAACTGTTGCTTCCACAGAAAAATACCTTAACTCAGTATTTTAAAACGGACAATGAGTTTTAAGAGTACTAATATGGTGTATCTCTTTTACAAATAGCTCTTTTCATTACCACCTTATTAAACAGCTGGTAATTATTGAGTTCCTCCTCTTTGTGAGGCACTACAAAATATAATATGAAAGTATATTTCATTCATTCATTTTAACATTTTTGAGCAGAGATATAACAAGTTCTGCCTTTATTCATGCATATTATGATCTAGACAGAAAAAAAATTAGCAAGCAATAAGAAATAATAAAATGAATTCTAATTGTTTATATATTAAATATAGATTTAAATAGAATAGTGTTGTCATTCTGTTTAAACTGAAAATTTGCAATGAAGCAAAACTCAATGTTTTTTTTTAAAGTTCATTGAAAAAGTTCATCTAAAATTTAAATCGGTATATAAAAAATAACAAGCTTTTTCAAATTAAAATCAATTGATATATGGTAGGTATAATTATAGGAAAATATTTTGGGGAATAAGCTGTAAATTATGCCTTATTTTAATTTATTTCAGAAATGTATGTATTATAGTCAAAATTTTAGAAATCATATGAGACAATTATTTTATTTTCAAATGGGAAAATTATAGCATATAAATCAATGGTATTCAGTCTGTATTTTTCTAAATAAATTTCCCTTTCCTCAGATACAAAAGTAAATTATACTTTTCTGTATAAATATTTCATATAGGTACATTAGATGAAAAGAAAGGTGATATTCATATGGCATTTGGAACTAACAAATGGAGTTTATTAACATAGAAAATTCTGAGAATTTTCTAATTGTGAGGAATTGGATAATTGTCAATCAAGCATTTCATGTTCTGAATAACAGGAAAAACACATTTGGAAAGGGAAACAAAGGACACTGCAACAAAATGAAATTTTAGTGACATCGGGTTTCCAAGATCCAAAACAATCACAGATGATAGCATAAGATGAAAAATTCTTTAACTCTCAGGAATTCTTTGGGATAAAGGCAAGAAATGAATATTTTCTTCAGGATCATTTTCCTTTTCCTGTTTACACCAACACTGGAGGAATATAATTGTAGTATGAAACTCTATTATGATGCATGTGTAAGAGGAAGCTTATCACATGTTCGTTTGTAGGGAAATCAGCAAAACCATAGAACTGAAATGGAAATTCCATAGGCAATGACTCAGTGAATAGAGTAGCAGTTCATTCCAGGCTAGATCCAATTTTAGAATATGTGCTGCCAAACAAGAGTGAGTAGTTTTGGCATGGGTTAGTTAATGCTAAACTTAGCACTTGGTATTTCCAAGAAGCTGCAACAGTCTTCCTCTTGAAGTAAACTTGTGTACTTGTGCCTTATGAAGTTAATTGTTATTTTTATTAGTTATTGATAATAAGGATCACATTAGATATCATGGCATGCTAATAGAAAAAGGGGTAGCCAATATTTAGGATTTTTGCCTTTTAAA